GAAGCAGCTGGCAGAGTGCTCAGAGCCTCCCTCTGCTGCCTCATGCCCCAGGGTCCCGAGCCAGCTGGCACCTTTAGCTGCGCGCATGGCAGGCAGATCCAACAGCTGTGGAGGTCACCAACAGCTGTCCAAAGGGACTTCAGATTCTGTGAAATGGCATCTTGCACATCCATTGCAAGCGTGGCCAGCATTAGTAGCGTACAAGTAATACAGTACCTCAGATTAAAGGAATAAAAACAGGAGGATGCCTGCTTCTATTAGGATCTGTCTAGATACCCATCTAGAAAGATCTTTCTAGATATCCATAATTGTATATTGTTTGAAATTTATTACTGCTTTACCTAAAAGTGAACAAACTTGTGACCTGTGTTAGCCTTAGATTTATTTTCTTGTTAGTTTTAATTTTAAAATTATAGAAACTATTTTCTGTGAATTCTTTTATGTGCAGTTAGTTGTTGAATAATTGTCCACTACTTTTCAAGTATCAGTTTTGCATTGCAGGGCTGTGAATTACATCAGATTATGTCCTTTGAAATAAATATAACTCAGACCACAGTAACTATAACAGAAAAATCCTGTTACATAATCTTTGTGTGCAGCATCTGTAGTGCTATTTTTAAATGTGTACTTCTGCTGTGTGATCACTCCTTAAGTTATAGAAAAGGCCCTACACTCTGCCAACTTGCTAGAGACATGTCTTACCTGCCCCTCCCTGAAGTTGCCTACTACTTTCTTTCTCTTTTAATATAAACATAACTATATAGTTAGGACTAGAAAATACTCGTTCCATTGTTGAACTCATGGCAGGTTATTTTTGGGGGGAAGCGTCAACATAAGTTTGCGATACTGCGTTGAGCACCTAAGCAAGCCCTTCAGCATCGAGGTTACATAAAAAGGGATGATGCTGTTGTGTTCAGGTTACCAGTGCCTTGTACTTCAGTACTCTGATCAGGTAAAGGTCAAAGGGGAGAGAGGGAAAGATTCCCGTTATATGCCAATGAACAGGTTGGAAGAAAAAATGACTGACCTTACAGTACAGCAGGGAAAAAATATTGCAGCAATCCGTAACTACTTCAACTGCAGAAACATTAGTTTGGCAGGTGTAATTGGCTTTCTCATGATTCATCAGTGCTTTTCAAATTTTTTTCAGTCTTCTAACCCCCTAAAATTTCCAGTGAAGGTGCAAGTTCCTATGGAATTGAGTCCTACCAGCAAGAAGTTTACTTTTCTCACTTACTTTCTGTTGAGTCTTTAGGAACAGGTCACAGACCCCCAGCAGCCTTGTGGACCACAGGTTGAAATCCACTTTCCTGGCAGAAAGAAATGAAGCCTTCTGATTGTTGAGAGATCAATAATACATCATAACTCATCCCACTGCGAAAATTTCTCCCCATCACCCATCCATCTATGATCCACATTAGGCTACAGAAGGACATTTGTCACGTAAGTGATCATTTGTTTATTCTGTGCATGATTACAGGACCAAAGCAACACTTTATCAAAAATTCACCTTCTTCTCCAAGAAAAAATAAAAACTGTCTTGAACCTTGAATGCCTAGTTATCATCATTTGCTTTGCCATTGAAAAAATATTGAAAAAAATTGAAAAAGTGTATCAAATCAGCTTTTGTTCAGAAGCTACCTGTTGGTTCAGTGAAGCCACAATCTATTTGCATAACATATCTTCACCATTTTTCTCACAGGGAACCTCCATGTCCCAAAATAAAGCTAATCTCTCCCCTTTGCCTTGTCCCTCCTATTGCCTATACCCTTCTAACTTTGCTCCAAGTACAGCTTGCTTTAGCAAACAGCATGTGCTGACTGTCCAGAGGGTATCTAACTTTCTCTGCTAGAAAAAGGTTACCAAAATACGAAGCATGGGGGCTGAGCAGCAAAGAGGAATGGGCGAGAATAACACATAGCCTGGTCAGACCTTTCTTAGTGAAGGGTTGAAAAAGACAGTATTTCTGCTGCATCTGAGTCACCATTAGCTTTACGCAGTGAATTGAGGTAGCTAGACTGCCCCTCTTCCTACAATCTGGCTGGATTTTTGCATATATGTGTATATATATGCACATGTATATACATGTATGCATATCTATTCGTGTGTATACACACATTTATATGTACATTCAGGCTGTCAGGAGAATGTTTCTATTAGAGTTCTAGGTCATTTTTAGGTCCTGCTACCCCACGATATAGGCCAAGAAAAGCCCTTCTGAAGTCTGAACGGTTATTATCTAAGAGCAAAAGTAGAGATAGCTCTCCTGTACAACCAAATACCTCCTTTACGCAAAAGAAAGTGACGCACAGGGCAAATTTCAGAACTGCTTGTTTAGTTCCCTTTCATCTATAAGCTTTACAAATACTGAAGGTCCTTTGAAGGACTTTGGACTTCGGCGCTCAGGCTCCAAACCAAGAAACAGTGTATAAATACCAGCGAGAAAAGGCTTAGATCTTCATACACTGAAAAACATTACTGATTAGAAGACAGCTGCTTAACAGCTTTTTGACAGTAAGTTACTTGGAGTTTAACAGTAATATCTGACACAATGTCGCTTGAGTGAGTTAATATCAAAGCTCACTTAACTGATAAAATTATTTTAGAAAATCTTGTCAGCAAGTAACAGGATCAGAAGATACTTCAGTCCCTCATATGGCAAACCTTCAGCATTGAAGGACAGCTACTAAGAAATCGACACACTCATTGGCAACATCCCTTACTGCTTTATAATCTAAGTCTCTCAGGAAAAGATCATTCCCCTGGAAGAGGCTTATCACATTCGAATGCATTGTTTCATGCATGGAAGCCTTTTTCTATCCTTTCAATAGCTTAGATGCTGGCACTTTAACTCAGATGGGATCAGACCAGAAGTCCATCCTTTTTAATGCCCTCTGACACTAGCCAATACCAGACATTCCTGCAGAAAGCAAAAAAGGCTGTTAAGAGATGCAGACGTGAGGACAGTCTGCCCCTTCAAGTTCCACCCTCATCTCTGAATCAGCTCAGTTTCTGAGCATGGAGTATAACGATTCAGTCTAGTTGTAACTCCAATTCAGCTTCACTAACTTGTCCCTCTATTCTTGTACTATAAGATAGAACAAAAGTTCTCCACTTTCTTACTTGCTTCGCAGTACTCAAGTTTTATAAAGACTCAATATTTGTCTTTTCTTTCCTAAGGAACTAAAGTCTTGGTCCTCCCAGTGGCTGCATAGGAGAAACTTTCTCCTACTCATTTTACTGCCCTTCTTCAAACCCCTCTACTTTAGAATTCTTTTTCAGATATTGAGCTGTACAACACACTATTTCAGGTGAAGTCCAGTGACTGATAGAATACTTTGCTCATACTATGTGTTCTAGCATCCATTTTTGACCACAGCTGTATGTGCCTTGAGCAATAAGCAAGATACCTTTCTTCTGCTAGTAATGTTAAATCTTTCCTTGCTGTATAAGTGGTTAATTTTTCTCCCTCAAAAAAAAGAAAAGCCACCACTAGATCTTCATTACAGTGCAGTCTAGTCATCTTTCTTGCTTAAGTTTTTCCAAATGACATACAGGTTCTTAGTAATATGAGTAACTGCAGAGGAATTCAGCTCCTTTAATGGCCACTTCCAAGGACTTTATTCTGAACATCAAAAATCCAGCAAGGACTCTTGAGGTTCCTCACCACTCAGGCCTCATTTCTGGAGATGCCCCTTTCCATCATGGGGGTGGATGAGATAACGGCTTCGGTGCTTCTTGAGCTCCTTGCTTTCAGAGGAATTTCTTTAATACAAGAAAGAATCAAACCCCTTTTGTTCTAAGTGTATTCACACTACCTTGTAATTATTCAATGCTGAATAATTAGTTCTGTCTTGTTTTGAGCATCCCAGAATAACTGCTTTCTATATCTTCACTTGATTTAAGAGTTCATACTAGCTTATTATCTATCTACTTCTATCAACATTTGGAAAAATAGCTGTTCAAACTTGACCCACATGGTATGAAATAAAGCCAATACACACTTAAGTACACTGATATATGAATTTTAGGTCTGTATCTGCATCAACAGCAAACAGCTATTGGCTTATCTACATCTGTAATGTCACAGCTTTGGATTACAGGACAAAAACTACATGGGTCTTTCCATCATTCAGTAGCTACCCAGAGCTCTTTATTAGTTACTGAAACAGAAAGAGAATCTCTTACAACCTCAAAACAAATTTGACACAGCTATCTAAGCATATCTTAGTCTTCCTATCTACGTTTTATTTGCTATGTACAGACCTTTTTCTTGCTTACTACAGTTTACTATAAGAAAGCAGGTAACAGTTGTGAAAAGCAAGCTATTTCAAGGACTGCTCCATTACTTCAATGAAAAAACAAAACCAAACCAATAGTCATTTCTTTGCAATGGATGACTTCTAGTTTTTTTGGGGGGGGGGGGGAAGAGGTTTGTATAAGCAACATGCTTAAATAGCGAAGTGTATAGCTGTCAGTGATGTTCCTCTTCCACTGCCCTACCTCCTCAGGTCTAAAAGGCAGATGACTAATCAAGGTGATCAGGTGCAGCAAGAAAGTGCTAGAAGCGCAGAGGAAGACATGTAATTGATACATTTGAGTTACAGTGAAAAAAGGAGAAATACAAACAGCTTCACTGAGTGTGCAACAGCAATATATTTTAGCCTGGTTTATGTCATCATAAATCTCTCTCGCAGAACACTAGCTTTTATAATAAAAGACCAGCTTAGCCATTAAGTAAAATGACTGCCTAAGAACATTCAGAGACTGACAGCAATTTGACATCTAATTACATGGATTTCATCCTCCAGTTATCAAATCTTTTATCTGTATCCCAAGCATACTAAAGGCACAGCAATTTATAGCAGGCAGCTTAAATCCTTTAGTTGAACTTTTCTTCCTCAAAATAGCACACAATATATTCCGATATCCAAGGAAAAAAATGCTGCCAGCACATATGGCATATCTGCTACTAACAAAGTAAGCACTTAAGAAAGGCATTCCAGCAGCCAGGAGTTTTATTTGCCAAGAATTTGGACTTTTTTTTTTTTAATATATCAAAGTTTTTCTTTTTACATAGGAAACAAGGACACAAGGGATGCAAGAGTTTGTAAAGATTTCAGGAGGCTGCAAAATATGTCCATGTAAAAACCATTCTCAGAAGCCAACATTCAAAATAAGATGAAGACTGAAAATACCTTCTTCGAGGCAGCTCACATCCTGACATTAACATTCGTGTGACAGGTTTCTACAGAAAAAGCTGTTACAGGGACTTCAGTCCCCGAATCGTCAGTCTCAGTTGAAGAGCTTAAATATAAAGAAAGGGGAGCAAGAATCTCCTGTTTTCCAGGTGATGACTAATCCAGATGTGTAACAAAACTCCCTTCACTGGAGTCTCATCCGTTTTTCAGGTGGTCCTTTAGCACCAGAACTCTGCTGAGCATTCTTTACAGTCTCTTTTTCCTCTGGCTTGACAGTTTCAGGGGCTGGTTCTGGTTCCTTCTTGATTTGATCCACTTCAGAAGTAACAGCAAAAGAAAGTTAAGCCTCCAATTTTTATTCCTAAAATACTGTTCAGAATACTTAGAAAATATTGTTGATGCCAAAGGGGCAAAATTAATTTCAAAGGTATAACAATAAGCAAGGACTAAATTCATACCTATACGGGTAAAAAAGTGGAATAGATTGAAGAGATACAGTTCATGATTTTCCTTTTTGAGGTTGCTTACGATCAACTCAAAGCCTTCATGTGCTTTCTTGAGCTTGTAGCACCATGCAAAATCACTAAGATGCTGGACTGACCAAACTATTCCCTCGTTCACCCTTTTACCCGCCTTCTGCTTTCAAAGACCATTTCCTGCAATTGGACCTTCAGGCAATACAGTTTTACAGACAGAAAGGGCAGGAGTAGAATACACTTTTTTTTTCAATTCCACTCTGGCTGTCACAGAGAACTCTTACCTAGTACTTTGCACAATTAGGCAATACCACAATTCCTAACTACCTCAGTAGCAGCAGCAAGGAGCTTATATGGCAACTGGAAGAGTTGCCTATAGAGCAACTCTTGAGAGCAGTTGCGCTATATAGAGCCTTTTTTTTTAAGTTTTGTGAGAATATTAGAGTTTTACCTGGGATAGGCTTTTCTCCAGGCTTTTGCTGTGGGGGAGGAAGAAAAAAAAATAAAACAACACATCAGTGGAACCAAAGTCATATTTCTTAACCCTTCCCACTATTCACTTAGGAATATAAACCAAGCAATGCTCCCTTACACATAACAGGTGAGGGTAGAAGGGATCACTAAATACACTTTAAACAAAATCTAATTAACATTTTATAACATTCAGCTTTTCCTCTGACAACTGAAAAGCACTAAAGCAAAAAATATGCAGTTAGCCAGTCTTTCCCACATCTGAGGAGTTTACAGCATCTCACAAAACTGTTTACAGTATTTCCTTTGCTCCCAAGCAGAAGACCTGGTGGAACAAATGGCTACTAGAGACAATCAGAGGTAATCACAACAACTTCACAGAATGTCAAGAATTTCCACACTAATTAACAAGCCTCCAGAACAATGGAGTAACTGAAACAAAATAGCTGTGGTGGCTTGATTGAGCTTACAAAGCAGGAAACTGGAAGCAGCAGCAAAATCTGATAGCCGACAAGAACAGACCCTCTGTGATTAGATAAGGAATTTGTATAATAAAATTCACCCTCATAGTTTTGCCAAGGTCTTAATGACTCTTGCAATTACAAAGGGGAATTCCTACATTCCAATCAGAGCCTTCCATTTCAAATTTATTACCTAACCCATGTTACCATTGCAGAAAGCACACAAAATTCCCATTCAGTTTCAGCTGTTCAAGTACTTACAACTGCCTTAAGTTCTAAGTAAGTTACAGTAATGGCTTATAAGTGTCATACCTGAACAAATCTGGGTGGAAACTTTTGTCTTAGGTCTAAAAGCAAAGCATCTACCCGTTGCCTTTGGAAAATAGAACTTGGTTCTTCTTTCTTCTTGGCTTTTGGTTTAGCTTTCTCTGCAAGTCACAGAAATGTAAAAGGAAGCTGTATTCAAAGTTCTGTTCTCTTAGCAGCTCTTTGTTGTACGACAAGCTGGTATTCATCTCTCCTCTAAACTTCACCTACATTTTCCCTTTGACATCAGTTATTTTTTTTGTGGAAGACAGATTAAAGACAATTCTTACCTCCTGACAAACTCGTTTGGCTTCTGAAAAGGTACTTTGGTGTCCAGTGGGTTGAAGAGTTGCCCACTTTGTTGACACATGGCTCACCATTTTCATTTCCCACCCATGCCTTGATGTTCATCCCCACCAACACAGAAGAGCAAGATTCCTTCCACCTGATCGGGAACACTAACTTACCCTTCTGACAGAAAGACACTTAACCTCATCTCTACACCATCACTGTGCATTACCTCAAGCTTTTCCCCACATAACCTCCCCTCTCCCAAAGTACACAGGAGCAACTAGGAATCATACCTCGTTCTTCTTGATCTTTGAAATGCCACCAGTAGCCCTTGGATGGGTGATAGCGACAGTAGGACATAGCTTCTTCAAAAGCAGACTGAATTCCATGCACTGCAGTCAGCTTTCAGAACAAGAACATAAGGCAGTGTTCAGAATTTAAGGAGAAAACACAGTATAAATTTTCGAAAGCAAAAATTTTTGCTTTCAAATTTTTGAAAGCAGGGATTTTGAAGTTAGTATTCTATATTAATTTTTGTTCTGGGAAGGGAACTTGGGACATCCAGTTTTGGACCAAGAATGTAATCTCTTTAACAGACCTTTTATGAAGTGCTTTTCTAAACTGACAGAGAAAAACTCGCAAAACTAGTAGTTTACTAGAACAGAAGAAATAAAAATAAAACCCGATTATCCGATTTAAAAAGAAATACCACATTAAGTTAAAAACATAAGCCTCATTTAGAGACAAATATTACATTACTTTAACATTCCAAAGCAAGCTTCACTGAATATGTGTTTAATTGCTATTTCATATGTATTTGTCATTCAATTTTTCCTTTGATTATTCGAACCTCATGTTGTTCCGGCAATTGTGTAGCTTCAGTTATTCTGATTGTTCATCCTTAAACAATGTCTCCTACTTTTTCGACCATATTGCACTCTCCCAGGATCTTTCATTTCCATGTGGGATGCACACCATATTCATCAGTGGGGTTTGTTTTAAGTTACTGTATATTACACAAGATCTTTCCTCAAAAGAGTGAAGGAGGGATTGAAACAGCCTGAGGAATAACCAAAAGTAAAAGCAGATACAAACTGGTATACATCAAATGCACAGAACACTTACAACTCTGGAGTTAATGACAGACCCTAAGTCAGGTGCCTGATAAATCACTCCAGCAATAATATAGTAGTCGGCCAATGGAATAACTGTGAGGAGGAAAAAAAACAAAAAGCAGGATCAGTTTAAAGCTCTGGCTGAAGACTGTGTATTTGTTGCTGAATTTCAGTAGTAACTGAAATTAGAAAGCAGAAATCGCAAAATTCATCTCATCACCAAATTTTCTCTTTTTTACTTTTTCCTTCAAGGTGCTTTATTTGCACCCTAGCCACAGACTGATAAGGGGAAAAAAATCAAGGTCTACTTTGCAGATAGAAAAACATCAGCTTTAAGTCCTGTCCTACTGCAAACAAATAATTGACCTCACAAGAGTTGGGGTTTTCAGAGCTACACAAGAGGAGTCAAGTGAACTGCACTGGAAGTACCTCCACTTGCCTTTGCTACCGGTAGAAACCCACAATAACATAAGATCTCATTCTTCTGGCCTCAGCTTTCTTCAACTTGTACAGCCCTCTTAGCTAGATTTCCCAGACCCAATGGCAGCTAAGCACACACAGAATATGCCTTTCTAAATTAATAACATTCTGCCAAAAAAAGACGACCTTCCAAAGGCATTTGCTAAATCAGATGACCCATCAAAAATTCTAGTTCATTAGAGCTGCAGTGCAGAGTAATATCACAATTGCCTCCGTAATCCTCTGCCAAACATTCTTCAGTTGAGAAACTACAGCGATGCTATCAGCTTCACATTCCTAGGGATCTTACCTGCACACACATTTGTTCCAGTTCCTCCATCTGCATTAACACATTCTGTCTCAACCTTTTTACTCACAGGACCCAATTCATCCAGTACTTGCATTTTATGAAGCTTGGACACCTGCCTAAATTAACAGACCAAGACAGCTGGGTGCATATTACAGCCAGTACCCACTTCTCAACAGAAAGAGGATTCTCAGCATTTCCTTAGAAGTGGAGCAAGACACAGAACAGCAGCTTTACTGTCTCACAGCTGTTTCAGAGCAGCCTACTTTCCTAGACAGGTAACTCTGCCTAATCATTGGATCTAAAGATTTTTCCAAAGCCACTTCAAACAGGCAAAAACTTGGCTTAAAGAATTTAAAATATAAATATATTTAAAAAAAAAAACACACAGAAGTCGTAAGACAGGCCTGCACCAGTTCTACCTGAGTACTCAACACTTGCTGTGAACTCATTAAATTTTAGTTTTCCATCCCCATTCTTGTGTCTCAAACACACTAATATTTGTACCATGATAAAATGAAACACACGGGTAACATTTGAGCTAGGGAACTAAGTGACTCAAGCAAGGTACCTAGCACAAACTGTACAGTCACAATGGGAAAAATGTTAATAAACAAGTCCCAGTTAAGTTCCACCAAACACACATTTGCATTACAGCAAAAGTCTGAACACACACACACACACGCATATCGTGGAAGCCCCAACTCTACTCTTGATTTAAAAAGTGTCAAAACAGGAAATTAAGGGCTGCATAATATTTCCATACTCACCTTTTGAAAGCTAGATTCAAAACCTTTAATAAAGAAACAACTCGAAAACCTGTTAAAAGGAGGTATCATATACGTTCTTTTTCAATATGAAACTGCAATATAGAGAGGCCATTACCTGATATAAGCAAATAAGAAGCATTGCTAGACAAGGCAAAATCCTGCACAAGACCAAAATGCATATGCAGAGCCTAAGTCACTAAAAAAAAAGTTAAGAAATAACAAGCATTAACCCTGCCTTTCTTTTCTGTAAAGCTTACTCTGAAATAATCAGATTATTTTACATATACACGCAGTAAACACAGAAGACAGTCCAATAACTATTGAAATGCGGTTACTTTTTTAATGAATCACACACACGCAAATAAATTTAAGGTTAAAAAGGAATAATGAAGCCAGTTGCATGCAACTGGGAAAAAAAAGCTCAGGTATTTAATTTAAAACTTGGCAAAGTCATCAGTAACACTGTAAGAAGGAGTGGTGCTGTTGTCACAAGATTCCCTCACGATTCCAAAATACTCAGTTCTCAGAGGAATAACCAAAACAACATGTATTTGCAGTATCTCATGGTCATTCTTCACATGGGTCGTTGTCTTCTACTGACAAGATCCTACTCAGCAGTATAACCAATCCACAGTTGGAAGGTGGAAATAGCGCAAAATAAGAGAGTGATGTGACACAAAGAGAAGCATGAATTAGCAAAATAAATACATAAATCACATACTAGCCACTCCAGATGATTATCAGCCCCAAGCAAGGATATCGTTAGCCTTATATTCAAATAATTAAAATGAAAACTCTTGCATAGCCTAACAGATAAATACAACATGGCATAAATGCTATTATCAATTTCCCATGGCAAAATATACCACAGAGCAGCACTTTCTCACTGCACTCTGCAAAATAAATACATAAATCACATACTAGCCACTCCAGATGATTATCAGCCCCAAGCAAGGATATCGTTAGCCTTATATTCAAATAATTAAAATGAAAACTCTTGCATAGCCTAACAGATAAATACAACATGGCATAAATGCTATTATCAATTTCCCATGGCAAAATATACCACAGAGCAGCACTTTCTCACTGCACTCTTCACATTTCACCACAAGATGGCAATCCCTGCTATTAGCACACTAGAGGTCACTCTGCTAGACAAAATATCTCCATCCCACCACAAAGTTTCATACCCTTTTATTTAGATTTAAGATAACGACAGAAAAGGAGAACCAGAAGTGCTTAAACACAAATTAGAAACAGATAAAAGCGACTAACTGATCGGCCTTCTCAACAGTGACAAGAACTGCGTGACCTTACCTTGTGTTGGAGATTGCCTTTGCTGCTTCCGGATAATGAAGAGAATGGGCTCTTGAGCATGAAGAAGGATGTACTCCACCCCAACCATCTGGCTGAAAAAGAAGTAACCAGAATAAATATCTTCCTCAAAGTAAGATCCGTAGGATGTGAAGAGCTACCAAATGGCCTGGCAGTAAAGGGATGAAGTTCTGATGCTTTGAAGCTCTTCTCTATAATGTGCAGTAAATAAAGGCATAGGATTTCCTGAGCTAGCTATCAAAACCTAGCTGCATGTACAAAGGGAGTTACAACAATCTGACACAACATCTAAGTAGAACACGTTAGCAAACAAATAAATAGCAAGAAAGACAACACAATCTATCATCATGGAGATGTCATTTAAACGCAGAAACAAAGGACCAGCGTATGATGTGACCATCTGTGTGTCTGATGTGAAAGCCCCTCCACAACCACATCCGAGCACAAGTGACTTCACCCAATGAACTTTTAGCTCAGCTTGCACACTCCCTATCATATTGTGGAGTCTTTAAATAGTTCTCAAATACCTCACTTGTGCTCAGTGTAGCAGATGGGGAACTGCAAAGAAAGTTAACTTGCGCATACTGCAATCTCATTACACAACCATCTGTGATCAGTTTATTTACAACACTCACTACTTTTATTATCCATACTAAAAAGCCATCTCTTTGGAGAAATTATGTACTAATTATGGCACATAGCCAGCGGGATATGGAAACACAAACTAAGAATTCTAAGTATCCCCTAACATAAACCCTACTCACCATAGAAAAACATTTAACTACATTACCATTACTCAGGTTCTGTTGAGTCGGGAAGATGAGAGAAGACAGCTTCTCTAACTCAGAGAAATATCTAAAAGGTGATTTACTGGTATCTCAGGATATATATAGAATCCTTCATGCTTAACACCTCCTTGAAATGGCTTAAGAGGAAGTAAAAGACATCCAAACACAAAAAAAGCTGGGCTTCCTGGCAAGCGGTGGGACTAAAAAGCACAGAACCGAAGGAGGTTTCCAGCATGCTTTCATTCAACCATCAAAACCTCTGGATGGAGGGACAAAGGACACTGCACAGGAAGCAGTTCCAAATTACAACTTACTTCAAATGGTCCAAGGTCATCCGCTGCATTTTGACGACTTCATTGTTACATGTTCGGTCATAGAATGGGTTACTTCGCTCTGAGAAATAGTCCAACACACTCCCATTGTTTAATATTGGAATCCAGGAGCTGTCAACCCAGGAAATTCCCAAGAGATTATCTGAGAAGAGAAATCTCCACTGAGTACCAAAGCAGCCAGAAACACTACAAATACCTCCAAGAGTAAACTGCCATCAGTCAATGATTATTGGAGGGTAAGGAGGCGGAACACAGCCTCACGCAAACCAGTTCTAATTAAAAATGTGTTTCACAGAATTGAAATAATAATTTATATCCTCTAACCTTCTGCAGTTCTGTAGTAGGTACACAATAGAAATACAGTCTTATTATTGCACTTTTCTTTCCCTGACCACTAGCTGCTGGCACACCTTTATGTCTCAAGAATGTGAGGAGGGTCTGTGTGCACATGTGTGCGCGCTCTGTTGGTGGGAGTTAATTAGCTCTGATACCGTATATAATATTATCATACTACATCTACTCAGTAGTATAGTACTATATACAGTTTATTTTATGAACCACAGCATCAGCTGAGTAGAAAGACAATCCAAACTATGGTTCCTTTTGAAAGCTAGGTCTTTGGTAAGTAAGTTGAATTTACTAAACTAAGTTAGGATCAGTTAGAGGGGAAGTGGGGGGGAAAGTGATACACCCCACACTAAATCTGAGCCTGCTCATGTTTAAAACAGTTTAATTCTCACAAAAATAGTTTCCAAGCTGTAAACTATGATACTGAAAATAGGTAAAACACTGCAGAGATCTATTAATTAAGTCAAGAGTTTTCTTTTGCTAAAGCCAACGAGTAAACTACTGAGTGAAACAAAATAGTGGCATTGTTAACATTTCTAAGGCGTATCTGTATGATACCATAGCAGCTGACACTGTTGTGTTTCAAAGATTATTATTTTTGATGTGGGTGAAATCTGTAACAAACAAAAAAACCCGAAACGGCAGACACAAAGATGCTATCTTTGGGCAGATGTTTCCCAGTTGTCTTGAACAACAGATTCTATTCCTGACTCTACAATTAATCCGCCAAATTGCCTGCAGCAATTCCTTATTCCATAACTCAAGTGGATATTACAGAAATCTAACTACAGAGTATTAACAATTACATAAAATTGCAAACTTTTAAAATGAAATATACTCTACAACCTGCAAATCATTATATGCCAGATAAGTTCCTACAGATTTGGGAACATTTTAATTAAAATCCCTGGATTTTATCATCACACTGCAGCAAAATGACATTCCTCAAGCAGACCAAAGAAACCAGTGTCAACAATTGGTTCCACAGTCAACAAATACGCTAATGTCAAATATCCACGAGGCACCTTGAAAAGCACCCTGAAATTCATCCATTTTGAATTGCAGCAGCAGCAAATAGAATTCCCAAGACATGAGAAAGCAGGAAACAAAGGCATGCATTGATTAGAATTAAAAAACATAAGTGATGAGAAGTCATTGAAGATTGAACGAAGAACTGAAATTCTCACAGGAACCGTTCCCTTACGTTCACGCATTATATACATACCCAGAACTGCCACTTATCATTCCACTGTGAATATTTTACTTTTGCGACAACTCTGCATGCTCAAGGATGACTGGATCAGTTCCAAAAATGTCAGCTCATATACTATTAGCAGCTTCTCTGAGGAACAGTTAATAAAGTAACACTAGCTGCCCAGCAAACGAGGAAAAATGCAGCATAAATAGTCATGCGTAAATCATTTTGCCTCGTTAATCTCAGAACTGCCAGCCTCTCTTTCATAGAATGGGGGAAAAAACCAAAAGTCTAGAGGCATTCATGTTATTTCACATACATTATTCTCTCTCCTCACTATAAAAGAGGAAGTCTCAGAAACACAGCACTAAGATCCATTATTAAGCACTTAAGTTCTGGTAGCACTGATTATCCTAAATGCCTTTCAAACCAAAAGACAAGCTTTCCTTCCCTGCAAAACCAAAATCTTATGTGCTTGCATTTTTGCCATAATAAATTCTCATATTACATTTCACATACAAACTTTTCTTGCTTGTATGACTAACAATAACTACATTTCTCAAGAGGAATGTCAGGCAATCCATATATATATAGCTATAATGCTGTATATAGACTGATAAATGTATCGTAAAACGGAATATAAAGTTGGGCTTGGAGGCTCAATTATCCATAGCTGCTTAGTGCCAATATTTATAATTGCCTCTAGAATTAGCAAGATTGTTCTCTTAAACTATTTTTGGAAAAAAGGGGAGGAAGAACAAAACCAACCATGAACCTGACATGCCTGTCATTCCCACTAAGAAGGGAGCACTTCTGTTTATTTTGGGTATGAGAAAGAAAGGACAGTGTTCCTGCTTCTCTGTTCCTTTCCAAAACAGGACATCTTGTTCAAAGCATTTTTTGTGGAATTTGCATCACAGATGCAAATGTAAAGTGCTTGTGACAATACTGCCAATTTGCCATGAATGTCAGGACAATTTCGGAGACAAGCCAGCAAACCATGGCAAAAAATAAGAGGAGAGCAATTCACACAATGTGCTGTACCTGGCCTTACAGATGGATAGCCCAACACCAGGCTTTGACAAACTGAGAGGAACTGTAAAATAGTTTGATAGCTTAAAAATAGAAGTATGCTTCAAATCCAACCTAATATATTGAACCATATTAAATACAAGACTTCGAGGGAGCTTAAATGATCTGGATTAAGGCAGAAGGTTCTCACACCAGCTAATAATTTACTATAGCACTCCTGCCATTAATTGTCCACATAGTTCCTTGCTGCAATCTGAAACAAAGCAGCCAGAAAAGCAGTCAGGACGGCAGACATCATTAAGTAAGAATTTGGAGAAAAAAAAAAAAAAAAAAAAAAAAAGGAGAAAACGTCTGTGGCATTATCAAAATTAATCCCTCACAAGCTCTCCCTAAATATCTCCTCTTGGTCATTCCCTGAGACTCCACTACACAAGCTTTTGGTGTGATTCCATTCACACACTCTTATGGAGAAAAATAATTTCCTTTCTCATGCCCTCTCAACCCCCTCCTCCTCTCTCGAAGTTCAAACTCTTCACAGTAATTTAACCTGTATTTTGTTTACAATGTAAGCCTTCTTTAATACTTCATTCAAATATAACCCCTTCTTTTTCAAAACATTCTCTCTTTCTACTCATATCCCTGAATTCTCACCAAACCTTTCTCGTTCGCAGTTACTTCAGCTTTCTTTCTGGCTTTTCTAACACCTGTCCTGCCTCACCACATCCACCCGAAGCCCTGTTAAGATTACCCGCCTAACTCCCTGCTTTGGTCTCATGCAAGTCCCACACACGCCAGCGTTTCCCACCTTCCTCCACACTTCAGAGCTAAAATTCTCTTTTTTAGCTGTTCCTTCACGTCCCCGTCTCACGCCCGGACCTCCTTATTCCACTTGAAAAGGCAGAAGCGTACCAGAAGGGAGGCCCGGCAACGCCACTGAGCTCTCTTGTGCAGAGTTCTCAAAGACATACAAGCCAACTCAGCAGCTCCACGGGG